AGGGCGTCACCAAGATACAGGAGGTCTGATCGTGATCTTCTGAATGAACTGTGTTATCAGTGGACATGGGGGGAACAAGTAGAAGAGTTTGCCCATCCAACGATATAAAAAGGCATCTCCACGGCCTGCCACCTGCTGAAGAAGATGCAACACTTGGTGTTCTTCTTGGTGGCGAAGGCATCCACCTCTGAATGGAGGAAGGCTTCGAAAATAGGACTGAGATACTTCAGATTGAGAGACCATTCATTCTCATAGGAGACCATATGACTGAGAAAGTCTGCCTGAACATTCTGCACTCCTGGCACATGAACTGCAGTCAGGAAGATGTCATGCTCCCTGAGCCAGTGCCAAAGAGCCATTGCACAGTTGCAGAGTTCAGCTGCTACATTGTCGGTAAAAACCTGTACTACCTAGCCCACTAGCAAGTGCAAGAAGGACTTCAGAGCTCAATGCACAGCTAACAGTTCTAGACAGTTGATATGAAGATGTTGCTCCGCAGCAGACCATCGCCCATGGGCATATAGAGCCTTGCAATGGGCTCCCCAACCACAAAGTGAGGCATCTGTGAAAAGTAGAACCTCCAGCAGTTGCGGATGGAATGGCATGCCCATCAGGAGGTTGGTAGTAGGGATGGATCAGAAGGTGGATTGTAACTGAAAATAAGGTCAAAAGTGGCGTAAGAATCACAGTCGGAGGGGCCTCATGTGAAGCCTTGCAAAGGGAACAACAAATGTGGTTAAGGCCATGAGACCCAGGAGTCATTGAATAGACTTCAACAATTGGACCAGCCTTGCCAAAAACGTCTGAGCCGTCGCCTACAGAGTGGAGGCCCTGTCCACAGGGAGACAGGCTCCGTGATGGGTGGTATGGAGCTGAACCCCAATGAATTAGAGGACCTGCATGGGTTGCAAAGAGGACTTTGTCAGCTTGACGCAGAGGCTCAGCCTGGCCAGGAGGCTGAGAGTGGCCCGGATGTCAATCTCCAGTTGTTGCGGGAACTGGGATACGAGAAGCCAGTGGTCAATAAATGGGTACACCACCATAGCCATGCATTTGGTGAAAACTTGTGGGGCAACTGGCAGGCCGAATGGGAGTATCCAATGCTGATAGTGACACTGACCCACTGTGAAGTGGAGGAAATGATGATGTTGGGGCCTGGAGGTCACCTGAAAGTAGACATCCTGTAGGTCTATGGATGCTAGCCAGGTGTCCACAGGCAACAGGGGCAGAATGTTCTGTAAGGTGACCATGCAAAACTTCGGCATTATGATGTGGTGATTTAAGTCTCTTAAGTCCATTATGAGGCGCTTGTCCCCACCCTGCTTCGGACAATGAAGTACCTCAAGTAAAAGCCTTGGTGATTTGCAGCCTGGGGCACTTCTTCAATGGCTTCCTTGGAGAGGAGGGTGTGCACTTCGTCTAAGAGGAACGAAGCTGAAAATGTGGCCACAAACTGTGGGGTGAGAGGAGGAGATGCAAACTCTATGACGCACCCCACACAGATGATGGTCAGGACCCAGGCGTCTGTGGTAATTGCTTCCCAAGCTGGAAGATGGGGTGGAACCTGGGGCCCACATGTGGGGTTAAATGGGAGGGAGGATAAATTGGTGGTAATGGAGAGACTCAAGGAAGCTGTTTGGGAGGTTGAGCAGGCCTCTTGGTGGAGTGCGTCTTGGACTTGGCCTGGTAAGATTGTTTAGGAGGGATAGGCTTCTTCCTCCAAGATTTTGGTGATTGTGGAGACCATTGTCATTTGGGGTACGAGGGTTTCCATTGCTTCGATTTGAACTGATGTTGTGAGAAGGTTGAGAGGCCCTGAGGTTCCTCATATGTTTCCTACTGCCATCCATGGTGGTAACTGTCTCATTAATGGATGCACAGAAGAAGTAATCCCCGTTGAAAGATAGCACTCATTATGGCAGTCTTCCATATTAAGCAACAGCATCTAGAACTCCCAAGTACCAGCACACACTAGAATTGCACCTAACATACTTTTTGAACAGTTGCCTGTGCATTTACAATACTCTCACACTTTTATCCTACTGTTCCTCCAGCCTATTCATGACAGTGTAAAAATTGCTCACTTCAGAACACAAAAAATCATTAGAAGACTTTTTGTAACAGAAAAAGGCCCATACTATAACACCTTCACTGCAGAAATACCTTCAGGGTTTTTTCACCCAATGTGTTTTGCTCACTCTAGTAGTCCCAGAGGAAGCAAAACACATCTGGAAAGGGGGGGAAACCCAAAGCAATAGGGACAAACGAGTGACAAAAATGACAGTGAGGAAGTGGCCAAAGTTAAGCTTACCAGAAACTACCACCACTACCTGTTCCTTCAGGAACTCAACCATTGCTTGCCTCTAAGATAATCTGTCCCAGTAATCATGATGACTTGGCTAGTTAAGCAAATATGATTTAATTCAGTTGCTTAAATGACCACAAACAACATTCTAAGGCAGTAACTTCCCTTCCTAGCCTTCTTTACTTCGTTATTACAGTTACAAGTCGATGGATCTTTCAAGATTCCAGAAAAAGATATTTAGCAAGTGCCATACTAACACTGGGGAGGGGCAGTGGCTCAATAGAACAGTCTCTACTTTGCATGCAGAAGGTCCCAGGTTGAATCCCTGGAATCTCCAGCTAAAACGATGGGAAAGGCTACCCAAGACATTGGACAACAGCTGCTGATGGGTCAATCATCTAATTCAATATGAGGCAGCTTAATGGGTCAATCATCTAATTCAATATGAGGCAGCTTAATGCATGTCTAATGTGTGTTTTCACTCGACCAACAGTACTAGAATAAAAACGTATTCCTAGTAAAATAACTGGGGGGCGGGGTAAAGGTCTTGCTTTGGTGAAAGCCTTTATGGCCTTTCAACAATGTACTGCTGGTCTGGAGAAAATTCATTTTAAAGAATGAAATAAAAGTGTAAGTGGACAGGTTAAGCAATGGCAGAATACTCCTGCAGGTGAGCTATGTGTATTTGTTCATTTTCAAATTTATCTTTCACCTTTCAGATGTCCCTGGGTTTAAATGATAAAGCAGAAAATCAATTGAATCATTTTTAAATGATAAACGTCATGTTTTAAAAGGTTGTGAAATGGTATGGGAAAAGTTAAAGAGTGCTTGTCACCACAAGCCTTGGCAAAGACTCACCAGATGCTATTTTTGTGACCTGGGACTTGGGAGTGAGGGAAGGAAGGCTCCACTGGCTTCAGGCTGGCCGTGTGGTATTGGATGAGGGGCAGGGCCCCAGCAGCAGTTGTGGGCCAGCTCCTATGTGGCAGGTGAGCGACTGTGGGGGCAGAGCTCCAGGTGTACCTGGAGCTTGCTCTCCTGTTCTGCCCCTCCCCTATTCAGCCAGCTGCCATAGGGTCTTTGCCCTCAGTGCTTCACAGTTTTTCAGTTTTTGAGGACCTCTGGGCTGCATTGGATTGTCTGGCTTCTAACATGTGCTTGGGGCCCATCTGCTAGCAGCAATGCTGGCAGCTTCTCTCCTGAGCAGCGTTGGATCAGGAGGAGGTGGGGGCATAGACAACGGCCTGCACGCTTTGCAGCAGACTGCACCCACCATTGGTGGCATTTAAATAGCAGATTCGGCAGCATACACTCATCATCCACAGTTCCTAGAAGAGGCAGCCCTGGGCATCATCCAGTGGAGAAAGCATCCAGCGAGCATGAAGTGGAGCTTCAGACCCCTGAATCAGCTGGGGCCTTATGATAGCCTTATGGTAGCTTTTTCAGGTGCCGGTGGGGGCCGTGAGTTGTCCCAATGTTCCCTCACACAACTAGTTCCAGTTAGGTTGGCCTTAGGGTTGAGGGCCTTTTTTCTACTGGACATGGGGCAGTGGATTTATCTCCGGCCAGTAAATACCCATAATGTTCTAGGCACTCCAGTGCAGCCCTACAGAGCCCCAACTCCTGAGGGCACAATGGTGCCTTAACACCCCTTTAGGTCACCCTTGGTGAAAAAGCTGCTCCCTCTACTTGGATCATCTTTATGGTATCAAGCCATCCCCCTCTGTATCAGGCAATCACTGCCAGCAGCTGCATTTTCCAGTCCAAGCAGATGCTCATGTTAGGGGTGTTCCAGGCACCCTTGCTCTCATTTACATGAATAGTGAGAATTAATAATATTATTAACAATGCGTAATTAAATATTAATAGTGTGTGTGTATAATTAATACACAGTAAATACATATAGATACATATAAGCAACTACACATGTTCTTACAAGTTATAGTCAGTATGTAGTTCTAAACGTTTTATGGTTCCCACCCAGGAGCAGCTAGCACAACCAGTGCCAGAATCAGCACTGCACGCCACAGGAAGATCTGACAAAACAGCTGTTTTACAGGGGATCACACAAGCTACAGAGTGAGTTTCAGAACAGGGTGATCAGCTGGGTGCCCATTTAAAGCTTCCTGCCCCGGGGTCAGAGGAGGCCATGTTCACCAGCAGACTCAGAGGAGCATCTCTACTAAGAACACTCCACCATGGCGCCACCCAACAAGAAGGAGTCACACTCAGCACCACAAGTCTCATAGAACTGTGAGAAGCTGAGACATTTCCAGCAGTAACATCTCCTCAGGTGATTTATCCTCAGATGAGAATTCCGCTCACGCATTAGGCAATTACTGGGAGGCAGGAGCTCACATTCTGGGCTTGCCAGGTTAGGCCCTTAGGCATAGGGGAATGGACAGCTCAACCCTGGGGCCAGTCTGGAGTGCTGAGCAGCCTCACAAAACATGGGCATACTCCACATATACCGACTTTGAGAATCCCATGGTCATACATACACATACACTAATTTTTCTATGTTTTGCAGGCAAAGAAACTGCAACCAAATCACATATAAAAAGAACAGCGCAGAAGTTAAAGCAGATCTCATTAGACAAATCCACACAACTGGATGCAGAAGAGACTACAGCATCAACAAAATGTAGCAGCCTTTCTTCAAAGACAGTCCAAGAAAAAAAGACATTTTACATACTTCAGAATATCTTCCAGTCTTCGTATTATCTTATGAGAATCTGCTCTCTCTTTATCAAAGTCATTCTGTAATCCATGGACCTGATGTTTTTAAAAGAGGGGGAAAGTGACATTCATCATTCTCATTCAGACACGAACAACAAAAAATATCTTTGCATTTGAAGACTGATTTAAAGTAAGATGTTCTTGCCATATCTGAGATCGAAAAACAGTGTTTAAATTGCAGATGTGAACCACACATGCATCCAGAGCTCAGCTTGCTGTTTTTGTTACCATAGCTGTTGCTGAACAGACAAGCCATTTCTAAACTGAACAGCTGATTCAGCGGAAGAAACTACTGCATTATAAATAGGAGCAAAATTCTACAAGCACATACATGTGTCTCAATCTCATAACTCTAGATTCCATTTTAAGAGATGGAGACAACTGACATCAAAGAACCTATCAAACTACAATTAGCTTCTAATACAGGGTTAAATCCAAAAAAACTCAACAAATGGATCATTCCTACCTCACCTTTCCCATTGCAGACCCCTGCAGGTCCTCAAAAATGGTTCGTGGAGATCAAGACTCTTGGGAACAGCCCAGGGCACAATGTGAGGGTCTGAAGTGGGAAATTAGTGAAAAAAGCGGGGAATCCACAAGGCTTTGCAGAAGTCACTGCATTTTCATCTCTATCCTTTACCCCACACTGTTTTTTCTTTCTCTCTTCCTGGCAGCCCCTCTCATCTTCTCCCCTTTCTCTGCTTCCTTTCCATTCACAAGCCAAACTTTCTTTTATCTCCCCCCCCCCGGTCTTCAGCTATATTATTTATTTACTTAATTTATACCTCATGCTTCTACCCAATGGGGAATCAAAGCAGCTGACACCAAATCTCATCTCCTCCACTTTATCCTCACAAAAACCATGTGAAGTAGGGTGAGACGGAGAGTGTGACTGGCCCAAGGTCAGAAAGCAAGATTCCAAGGCAGAGCAAGGATTTGAACCTGGTTCTTCAAGATCCTAGTTTTCTGACACTCTAACCACCTTTGCCATTCTTGTCAATTACAAGCACAGATTCTATGTCTCAGCTACCCCTTACTATTTTTAAGAAGTAGGAAGTTATGAAGCTGATATCCACAATATTAATGACTGGATGAATGTAATAGATTCTCTGTGGAGTCTTCTATTATGAAGTATACTCTTCTCTACTGGTCCAACAGAGTCTGAATTTGTAATCCTTCCGGGCATGGTGCAAAGCATCTATGTTCTTGATGGTTCTACCTAAGGTGTTAAGGTTGTCTTATCTTTTAACTGGGTTCAATTAACCATGATGTCTGTTTAACATTTAGGGAAAGTCCTCAGAGTATATTTGTTGTAGGTACCTAAAGTATTCCACAAAAATCCAAAAAATTCCACAAGCTCCAAGAAATCAAGGGGAAATTTAAAGCATAGTTAGGCATGCTGAAAGATCAATATGGAAACACATTAATGGAATAGGAAAAAATAAAGAAAATACAGGAATAATAAAGAAGAGATGAAAGGATGACAGATTCCTTCAGAGAAGAATCCAATTCCAAAAAAAAGATGACAAAGACTGCAGCAACTGTCAGACCATCACATTAAGTTCTTACACAGGTAAAATAATGCTCAAAATCTTACAACAAAGACTGTTACCATATATGGAATAAGACATGCCTGATGTTCAAGCTGGATTCAGAAAAGGAAGAGGCACTAGAGATCATATTGTAAATTTGGTTGGTTGCTGGAGCATACAAGACAATTTCAGAAGAAAATCAGCTTGTGTTTCATAAATTAAAGCAAAGCTTGTCATTGTATGGATCACGAAAAGCTATGGATTATTTTGATGTGTAACCTCTACTTGGGACAAGAGGCTACTGTTAGGACAGAATATAGAGAAACAGAATAGTTTCTAATTGTCAAAAGTGTCAGATAAGGATGTATTTTATTTCCCTATCTCTTTAATCTATATACGGAATACATCATAAGGAAAGATGGATGAGATTTAGATGGCAGAGTGAAAATTGGTGGAAGGAACATTAATATGCCTATGAAACCACATTACTAGCAGAAAATACTGAAGACTTGAATTGACTACAAATGAAGGTTAAACCAGGAAGTGTCAAAGAAGGATTACAGCTGAAAATCAAGACAAACTAAAGGCTACTGGGGGATTACCAAACTTCAAGGTTGACGATGAAGAAATTTAAATTGTTTTCCTGACATGGATAGCTCAGGCAAGTCTGATCTCGTCAGATCTCAGAAGCTAAGCAAGACCAACCCTGGCAAGTAATTGGAAGGGAGACCTCCAAGGAATACCAGGGCAAGGGACACAGAGACAGGCTATCAAGCCACCGCTCTGAAAAACATCCAAGCCCCCAGTAGAGGTCTCCAGAAGTTGCCATGACTTCCAGGCATGCAAGCGCATACACACACACACACACACACAAATACTCCCCCTCCAAAAAGAAAGAAATTGAAATTGTTTTTCCATTCCTTGGCTCCATCATCAACCAAAGGGGAGATTTCTACCAAAAAAATCAGAAGGAGACTGAGACTGGGAAGGGCAGCCATGAAGAAGCTAGAGAGGATTCTTTAAGTGAAAGGATGCATCACTGGCAACCAAGTTCAAGATAATTCATAACATAATATTCCCTATCACTTATGTATGGGTATGAAAGTTGGACAATGAAGAAAGCTGACAGGAAGATGATTCATTTGAACTGTGGTGTTGGAGGAGAGTTTACACATACCGTTCACTGCCAAAAAGATAAATAAGCATATTCTAGGTCAAATTGAGCCTGAACTCTCCATAGAAACTAAAATGACCAAACTGAGGCTATTGTACTTTGGTCAGATTATAAGAAGACAAGAGTAACTGGAAAAGACAATAATGCTAGGAAAAGTGGAGGGCAGCAGGAAAAGCGGAAGAACCAATATGAGATGGATCGACTCAATCAAGGAAGCCATGACTCCGTTTGCAAGACCTGAGCAATGATAAGACATTTCGGAGGTCATTCATTCACAGTTGCCATAAGTTGGAAGTGACTTGATAGCATTTAACACCCACACACAAAGTATTAGCCACAATACTTAAAAAAGTAATCAAAATATACTAGTAGATATGTAGGAAATAATTTCAGTACAGTGCTGGTTCAGTACAGTACAATAGCCTCAGTTTGGTCATCAAGTGCCATCAAGTCGCAATCAATTTATGGCTATCTGGTAGGATTTTCAAGGTAAGAGACATTCAGAGATGGCTTGCCATTGTCTGTCTCTGCATAGCAACCCTGGACTTCCTTGGAGGTCTCCCATCCAAATACTAACCAAGACCAACCCTGCCTAGTGTTTGAGATCTGACAAAATAAGGCTAGCTTGGGCCATCCAGATCAGGGCAATTTCAATATGAGTTCTCATTCATTCAAATGCATTTAATAAAGAAAGAGGCATCCATCTTGATATATTACATCCAGTATATGTATCGAAGTGACCCCAATTTTTCATTTCTAGTAAGACCTTTATTTCCAAGTTTGATTACTATTGGTAATACAGCTGCTACATGCACTGACTTCAGTCTGTTTATGGTGTACACACACTGCTGGCATGCACAAAGTAAAGCATATATTGCCCATCTGGAGCTGTGCAAAGCCCAAACAGCAGAACTCTGCACACACACACAAAAGTTTATTACTTGGATGACATAAAATAGCAGTGTAAGACTCTATCATGAGTCTTTTAACTCAGAGCAGCAATGTCCAACTGACTGCCATTAGACCTGTTCCAGATCCTGACAGATTCACCAAAATCTTAGAAAGCAATGGTGACAATTTTATCAAAATTTATCATCCCTGATCAAAGCAAGGCTATTAACTGGGAATCTTTGCTAAAAGGTAGAAAAACATTATTCCAATGAGACAACTCTGAACTTCCATGGTTCAATAAAGCTTTATTTTAAGAACTAGGATAGAACAACTGGCCTTCTCCTTTTCATGGACATAATGAAGAATCACAACAGTTCTACAGAAGATGTTCTATACTTTCTTCAGATGCTATCAGTTGCTGTCTCTCAGTTTTATTATTATTTATTTATTATTCAAATTTATACCCCGCCCTCCCCCGTAGGGCTCAGGGCGGCTTACAGGGCAAGATAGTCTTGTGACAATAAAACCACAATACAAATAACAGTATATCTTCATTATAAAAACATTTTATACAATTAAAACCCACCCTATCTCACATAAAGTGCTTGGTGATGACTAAACTCCAAACCCAAGATGGCAGGACAGTTTCAACAATTTTTGACCAACAGACTATAGTGTCACGATGTTCCAAAGATCTTCTCAGGGCTCTTCTCAGGGCCTCTTCAACTCCCCCCCCAAGATGGTAACATAATAGGGGGGCAGAGGCCCCTACTCGAAAGCCTGGTGGAAGAGCAAATGGTATCAGTTGCTGTCTCTTAGTTTTGGCAAGATTAGGTATTTTAACAGGTATAATGCTGAACTCTTACTACTTACAGTCTGATCAGTGTGTGCTCAGATTTCAATTTATTATTTAAAGCATACACTAGCTGCCTTTCTACATTACAAAAAAGAAACCATCTTAAAAAAAACATCTTTGGACCCGGCCGCTGACCCACCGCCTCGCCGACGTGGGGATTCAGGGGCTTGCCCTTCAATGGTTTGTCTCTTTCCTACAAGGTTGGGGACAAAGGGTGGCAGTCGGGGACCAGCGATCCCATAGGTATCCCCTTGGTTGTGGGGTGCCTCAGGGAGCGGTGTTGTCCTCGATGCTATTTAACATCTATAAGCGCCCCCTTGCCCAGATTGCCCGGAGTTATGGGCTTGGGTGCCATCAATGTTGTTAGATCTGTCGGCCACGTTCGATACGGTCGACCATCAGCTGCTGACCCACCGCCTCGCTGACGTGGGGATTTAGGGCCTTGCCCTTCAATGGTTTGTCTCTTTCCTACAAGGTCGGGGGGAAAGGGTAGCAGTCGGGGACCAGCGATCCCATAGGTATCCCCTTGATTGTGGGGTGCCTCAGGGAGCGGTGTTGTCCCCGATGCCATTTAACGTCTATA